GAGCATACAGGAAATTGGCTCAAGAATGGCATCCAGATAAATATAAAGGCGATCTAACACCAGAACAAGTAGATTCAAAAATGAGCGCGATTAACGAAGCATATGAAGTGTTGAATGACGATGGCAAGTGTTAATTCCATTCATTTGCCTTAATTAGCTAGTGTTATCATATGTTTAATAATCGTTCCATTTACAGAATTACGTGCAAGGTTTGATAATGGTGAAGATCCGAATGATCCCAATGGAGGAAGTCAGCCATTCTTTTATTCTGACAATGCCTTCATGCGGTTTGCCAGTGGTGGTTTTCAATTTGGAGAAGGGTTTCCCTTTGGCGAAAGTAATGGTGAAGGACAATATCGATTCCAATTCAACTTCTAAAGAACATTATTGCATCTTATTCATTCAATTCTTACTATTTTCACCTGAACAATTCATCCCTAATCTTCATTATATTGTCTCTTTTGATCTTGATTGGCTGTTTACTTCTGGATATTGCCGTTATATTCATATAGAACGCCAGTACAAGTAATTTAGCAGGCTAACTTTTACATATAGCATTTAACTCTTGATGTATGGATAATTGGCAACACAGTGCACAAATTTGTATACATATTTCATTAATCGGTAATCAACTCGTTTAATATCATAAAACCTTTAGGCACGATTGTGTTGATTATTAATATGTGCATGCAACTGTTGACTGCTGTCTGTCTAAAATGTTTTTAAAAATAAAAAAAAAATAAAATAAATATTTTCAAAAACTTTAAATCAAACAATGAATTTAAAAGTAAAAAAAAATCCGAATATTCTTTATAAATATAAATTAGTTTATAGAAATTTATTTACATTATTAAATGTAATTAAAATATAAGTACATATTATTTTTAATGTTTCTATCTTTATTTATAAATTAGTATATTAAAATAAAGATGGGTTTAAAATTTTAAAAAATATATAATTTATATGAAATTATTAAAAAGTTTACAAAAATATAAATACTTAAACTAATCTTGAAATTAATGATTTTTTTATTTTAAAATATTGTATATATTATATATTTTAAGATAATATATTATAACCCTTTTTTAAAATTTATTAATTGTTTATTTATTTAAAAAAAATATTAATAAAAAATTAATAAACATATAGTATATACTGTATATATATTAAAATAAAATTAAAATAAAAATTTTATTAATATTATATTAATAATTACTTTTATTTTATCTAAATATTTTATTTTCATAAATTTATACAATTATTTAAATTATATTTTAAATATTATAATTTAAATTATATTTTAAATATTATAATTATTTATTTTTATAATTTATTATTATTTACTAAAAAATTTTAAATGAAAAATTTTATTTAAAAATAAATTAATAAATTAATTGTTATTTTTATAAACAATATTTACCAAACAAAT